ATAGATAGATAGATAGATAGATAGATAGATAGATAGATAGATAGATAGATAGATACATAGATAGATAGATAGATAGATACATAGATAGATACTAGTGTTAAATTTTATGTGGAATTTTTTATATTTTTGTTTCTTTGATTGTTTGGGGACGAAGGTGCAGGTTTCTTAGTTGTTGAAATCTTCCACTCCAGATGAAACACAGGCGTTACTTAAAAATATAAGAGTAACTTTCTGTCAAAAAAGTCTCTTGAATAGATCTAATTACGATTACGGTACTTGTATCGCGTAAAGAAGGTGTCTTCTTCTCTTTCTCCCTTATTATTATAGTTTCAGGCTTTTCTTTTGCAAGCGAGATGCCGAAAGAACGGCTGTTAGTTTTCTTCTCCTGCCCCTTTTTTCTCCTTAAACCATTTTGTGGTTAGCTGTGTGATTCTCGGGAAAGTAGTCGAGTACGGTAGGCTACCTATTTGACATTTGAAGAAAACAAGGACCGGCCGAAGCGTGAGCCACGGACTTTTGAAGACTGCGTGAGTAGGCCTAGCGTTCGAGGCGCAGAGCAGAGAGTTGCGACCAGTCAGTGCAAGTTGGATCGCTACATGAGGTGGGTGTGCATAGTTAAACCACATGCGTGTATAGTTAAACTACACATTTTTAAATTTGTTTTTTGTTTTGTAATCTCTCAAACTGTGACGATTCACTTGTAACATACATGTAGTCACTTTGATGGAAAAAAAAGAGACTTAGCTGCATGTACTACAATAGTTTGGATAAAAATAAGAATGAACGATTACATAGTTTTTTTCAACGGAAGCAAGCTCTAGATCTCTAGGTTTGTATTTTGTTTACAATTTACAAGATGGCCTCCCAGATGTTCGATTCCGATAGTGAAGACGAGCTTCCACCAGGATGGGAAGAAAGAGTGACGACAGATGGAAAAGTGTATTATGCAAAGTAAGCTCCAATCACTTTCTTCAGTTTGAAATTGTTGACTCGGTTTCATTTTTGTATTTTGTCAAAGTTACGTCAGTCGCATACTCAAGGCTCAAGAGATTCTAAAAAATCGAAGTGGCTTGCTGTACTAGACTGCCAGTCTAGCCGTCATTAAGTACGGCTAGATTTCGGTGCTTTTTCGGTAGTTCCCACCCCCCTTATTTGAGCCTGACCTAAATCTACATCGAGATCCAGATCGGCGCTCTTTAAGAATTGGAAGTGGTTATTCACACAGGGTGTGCGCATAAGAATTAATATTATTCGCACCGGGTGTGCGCATAAGAATTAATATTATTCGCACTGGATGTGCGAATAAAAAATTATTGGTAACCAAATAATTATATTCACCCAGGGTCGACCAGACCTGCGCGCCGCACCGGGTGTGCGAATAAGAAATAATTATATTCGCACAGGGTCGACCCGACCTGCGCGCTGCGCGAGATCGTTGCGCGCTGCGAACGCTGCGCGAGATTGGCAAATGATGCGAGAGTCCGCGAAACTAAGCGGTCTTGGCCTATACAATAAGCTTACTAAACCTGCGTGGCATTTTCATTTTTCAAAACAGAGCCCTGAGGGAACCTTCAGTAGCGTTCTGTTGGCCCCAAGGCTATTGCATCGCAAATCTGAAATTACTCAACACCTAGATCTAGATCTAGATCTAAATCTAGATCTAGTTCTATTTTTTCTAGATCTATTCAGCATGGAAGTGGGAGCCAAGTTCAATAGCTTTTCAGAGTTCACAGAGGCTCTGAAAGAGTGAAAGTACTAACACAAAATTTGTGGCGACGCGATCCACCAAAATTGGCCAAACAGACCCCTTGAGTGCTGTGTACATGTACCAGTCGATCGGGTTCCAGTGCAAGCAGGGGCAGCGCCACCATTATTGTATTTTTTAGATTAATAAACAATTTTTTTTTAAAAAGATCAGTCAAAGGTGCAAATATAAAATGCACCCTGTACAGGTTCTATCTAAATGTACATATGTGTACATTTTGGTTGACGACAGCTTGGGGGGGGGGGGTGTCCTGGGAAAGATGACAAGAGGGGTGGGGTCATTTGTGAACAGTCCTTAAAAGTAAAACTGCAATCATTCGACCATAAATAATATGATGTATTACTACAGAGTTACTACATAAAGTTGATTTTGGACCTCATTTGTCACACCCAGGTATCCCACTTTAAGTTTTAGGCAAAGGGTTTTAATTTTGGAAAGCACTGGGAATAGGCCAGAATTGTTCCCAGTGTCACTGGGATGAGGCCAAGAAACTATTCCCAGTGACACTGAGAACAGACAGGCCCATTAGATATCTAGATCTATTGTTCCCACAATGATCTACATGGGTATGATGATGGGTTACTAAATACGAGACTATACACATGTATTTTTCTTTATCTAATGTAGATCTAGATCTAGATATTTAAGAGTAGATTCTGGTGTGAGTGAAATAATTTTTTTTAAAGAAAGGAATGGTCATTCTATGCTTGCTTGTTATTCATCATGTACATTAGATCTAGATCTAATACGGATTTTGGAGACCACGGTACAGGACAGGTAAAAATCCTTCCCGATTCTCCATTTTTTCTAGAATCTAGGCTACGGTCAAGTATTGGCCCAAGTAAGCGAAGAGAAGAAAATTCTGAACTTAATTGAGAAGAGAGCCTACAGTACACGTTAGAAACAAATCTAGATACCTCCACCATGTCTCCCCCTCTTTTCACTGGTCTGGTAAACTTCACCCGCGCCTCTATCGTCTCTCATTAGTCTCATGGTACCTCTTAGGCCTAGCCTAGGCTGGCAATGTGGGTCCACTAAAGTAAAGTTCTTGGGCAGAGCAAACTATAAAATGTTCTTGGTCCACTTTTCTTTGTTTATTATAATTGATCTGCATGTGGCTGCCCCCCTCCCCCCCCAACCCCCCCCCCCCCCCCGACTGTCGAATACTAGATCTATAAGTATCCTAATAACTTCAGTGCTGAATGTGCAGTCCACCAAAAATTAGCGTACTGCGACTAATTCAGAAAACCAGGAACCCGCTGGTCCATCCTCCACTTCTGGTCTCCCTCCGCTGCCTCCCCCTCAAAAGAAAAGGAGCAAAAATAAGCCTACGACATGTAATCAAGAAAATCAGGAACCTGCTGGTCAATCCTCCACTTCTGGTCTCCCTCTACTGCCTCCCCCTAAAAAGAAACAGCGGATGGGATCAAGTAATACTAATATAATAGTGAGAACCCTGCACCTGTTCCTGCGGTAAACGTCCTCATCCGATGCCTAGATATTCCGGATTTTGATCTCTTCAATGATTCGGATGACAGGTCCGTTTACAACTTTGTCTCATCCCCCCTTCTCTCTCTCTATCTCTCTCTCTCGTGGTATTCTCGCAGCCCTCACTCACTCCGCCTCGCGTCGCCGGGAACTAGTTCGCGTAGCGGTCGATTAGGACCCATGACTGTATAAGTATAAGTCCGTTGTTTGCCTAGTGCGCATTAATACATATAAACACGGTGGGTCCACCAAAGTTCAATCCAGTCCCTATGATCTTTGTCCTTGCGCGATGAGGGGAAAAAATGAGGAAATGGTTGGCTGATTTCCCCATCCTTCTTTTGAAACACCCTGTGCGAATATAACTTCATAGTATTCGCACACCCTGTGCGAATAAAATTTCATAGTATTCGCACACCCTGTGCGAATAAAATTTCATAGTATTCACACACCCTGTGCGAATAACTACCTTCCCGTTCCATCGGCAGCCATTTTGAAACTGATGGATTGCCAGGTATACGTGAATATTAACATTTTCGTTTAAAATTAAGGACTACAAAATTAAAATAAACAGCCCAAAAATAATTTTTTTTAAAGTAGATTTAGCAGATCTTAGTCTTACCTTCAAGGAATGGGATACCATTGTGACAGGTGTAAGAGAATATTGTCCAAGGAAGTGGCTATTCTCACCCGCCCGGAAGTTCTCGCAAGATCTACTCCTCCCCTCTTCTCTCTCTCTCTGTCTCTTTCTGAATACTGTCTATCGGTGTGGACGATCAAATTGACCAAAACAAAATTTTAAAATGATGTTAAAACACAAAAGTAAATTAATTTGGTTGTCTACAAAGATGCTACGGCTATTTAACTTTTCGAATCAAGCCGAACTACGCGGGTCGCCATTTGTTTTGCCCGGAAGTTCTCGCGCTACTCCTCTCTCTCTCCCTCTCTTTCTCTCTCTCTCTCTCCACTGCCCACAGACAAAATTGTACGCTTTTAGTAGGCTACAGTTATAATGGAACGTTTGTTCACGGCACAGAATTCTACAATTTTTCTGTTATCACAGTGTAGAATTCTGTGGTTTAGGGTGAACGCAAAATTTGTTGGCCTAGATCTAGGCTATAACGTTGAACGCGCCCTGGGTGAGAATAGCCAAAAGACTCGCCTGCACTATTCTCACCCCAGGTGAGAATAGGGGTGGCCATTGTCCAATGCCTGTCTGTTGGTTTGCCCATGCAGTTCCCTCCACATGAATTCCTCTAGGTGGGAATCTATAGTTGTGGATGCCGTACCGTTCATCTGCTTGAACCGACGCTTGCACTGATTCCACAAGTTTTCAATGTGATTCGTGCATGCACCCGTAACTGGATCGACGAAGTTACGTGCATGCACGACCACCTGATGCTGATGCGGAGGATTTACTGGCAAGGCCACAATTCCATTGTAGGCTGCCCACGCTTCACTGTGTGTATGATCGAACCAGGAGCAATGTTATCCCGGATTTTTGGAAGAAGGGTTGCAGCAGTTCTGTCAGGAACAAGTAGAATGAATGACTGTCTAGTTGCCCTGCAGATACCTCCAAATACCCACCGTTCTGGAACTCGGTGGCCTCTGTTATACTTCCTTTTTGCCACGACACTTTTGTCGATTTCTACAACTTGTCCAGGGCCTCCTGTCTGGTATGGGTTGTTAACCAACCAGTTGCTGCATATGTCCTTAAAATATTGGAACCACTGTACTACAGTGACAGGACTGACTCCAACAAAATCGCTTGTAACACAGAGTGGTGTCTTGTAGGCCCAAAAATATAACAACTGCACAAGGACTTTCAAAGAAAGATTGGAGTTTGCCCAGTAAGAGTCTCTCCTCAATGAAATCACAACACTTTTATGACTTGGGCAACGAAAAACTTTGTCCTCACCTCGACCAGATTTGACAAGGGTCATTAAACGCCCGCAAGTGACACAATTGGGGGGGTTGGATCTTAAAACATTATGACTGTCCAATTTCAAAAAGTACATTCCAGTCTGTGGGAGAGCCACTGGGAAAACCAGAAAAATAATAAATTATATGAAATTAAACCCAAACTAGAACAGCGAAATCCTTCGGATCTCTCCAGAAGAGACGAAGTCATTTTTACTCGATTGCGCATCGGACACACGGCCCTGACCCACAAATACCTCCTACAGGGAGATGAGAAGCCGTTCTGTGTCGGATGCGACACAGATTTTACCATTAGACACATTTTAACAGAATGTCTAGACTTTGGAGAGATCCGAAGGAAATATTATAAATGCAAGAAATTGCAGGATATTTTTTCCGTCGTTGTTCCCAGCAGAATTTTAAATTTTATAAAGGCCATTGGCCTTTATGGCGAGTTGTAGAGTGAATTTGATATTATGAAAAATTTTTATTGTTACTTAAAAGTTGTTTTAGATCACAAATGTATTTACACCGAATTTGAATATTTTAACTTTTTAGCATTTTAAAGTAAATTAGTTAGCCAGTCGTGAGGTGAACTTTCGCAGAGGTGAACAACTTGTGTTTCGCGCGCTCATATGACCTTAGCAGTTGCGAGCGCCGTAAAACCTTATACTATACATACAAAAAGTACATTAATGGATGGCTGTCTAGCAGCAGCCATGGGACGCAATAAAGCAGTTAAAAATATAAGATCTAGAGATCAACATCTGGAATAGAAAAT